GAAGTACTGAAAGGCTAAATACAATGGTCTGTCAGAGACCCTGGCAATGGGTTCCAATCTGCTCAGTGGTACAAAGCATGCCAAGAAGAAAGAGAAATAGTTAAAGAGAGAGATCCGGGGAGCCAGGATGACCATTGCTTGTGCAATCAAGGCTGAACAAGCAAAGGTCCTGAGCACCCAGAGCTGTGGATATTTATGGGTGACGTTATAGTTAGATTGAGGTAACGTGGCTACATGAGAGAATGCGTAGTTGCTATGGATATGTTACTGATGCAAGACAAGGCTTGTAAAGGAACAGACAAAAGTATTCTTGAATCAGGAAAAGAATAGATAAAATATAGATCATGCTTTATAAGCCTGTCTTTTTTGTAAAGAAGGTTTTAATTCTGGGAGTAGAATTTGGGTAAGAGTCACTCTGACCTTGGCACGTAAGCTTTGGCTGCTTCTCAAAACAAGCCAATCGTGGGGTCAACTTCACAGCCTGCACTGCTCACAGCCTGATTTGGGCATAATCAATAAGGTGGTCACCCATATTCATCAGTAACGCTTAAAATACAACTCTGGATTGTGCATTTTTAGTGTTCACTTTATGAATAAATTTTGACCTGACATAATTCTATATTTTTGTAACATTGTAAAAGTATAGTAGTTAGCATTGTATACTCTTATTTTTTGCATTAATCATTTTCTTTTACATATTAGTAAATGTTTGTAGTACAAAATGTTTACATTCATTGTGGGGAGGTAGCACATGTACATAATACATCTTATTTTCTTTTCTCATCATTTTCTTCTCTGTGTCCCCCTCCTGCATGTCCTGATCCTCTTTTTTGGTACATGTTTGCAGTAGAATTGATAAATGAACATAACACATCTTAATTCCTTTTCGTATATCCTGTCTCTCCTCTTCTTCCTTGCTCTTTCCATCTCTTGATCCCCTTCCTCTTGGAGAAAGATCTATCTCCATACTTCTTATCTGTTTTATTTTGCTCTTTATTTGTACGTCAGTGTTCCCGTATAAGAGGAACCATGCAAGATTAAAATTGTGTGTGATTTATTGCACTTAGCATTATGGCCTCAAGGTGCATCCATGTTCCTACAAATGTATCAGGTATTTCTTATCAGAGAGGTAATCCACGCTGGGTAAATACCATAGTTTTTATCCATTCATCTACTGATGGACATATAGCCTTCTTCCAAGATTTAGTTATTGTGGATTGTGCTGCTATAAACATGGGCATGCATATGTCACTGGAAAATGATGCCTTTTACTCTTTTATGATGATACCTAGAGAGGGAATGGCTGTGTCAAATGAAATTTATAGTTTCAGTTTTCTGAGGTATCTCCATACTGATTTCCCTAGTTGACTTTGTGATTATTAATCTTGTTATCAGCATGGCTGATGGAGATATACCATGAAACCCAGTAAAGGACAATTTTGGGTCTGTCTGTATAGGCTCTTCTAGGAAAAACTGAGTTGAAGTTCCCTGACCTGAGTGAGAAACGACTGCCATGAGAATAGGTGTCATCCAAGAAGATTGGGCATTGGTGGATCAAAAGAGTAGAAAGCAGAAGCTGCTGCATACTTGTATTTTCTGGAACAAGTGTGACTTCTGGTGCTGTCACCCTCCAAGCACATCTGACCCAAGCGTTCAGCCTTTGAACACAGACCTTTATTAGTGATTCCTTGTGGGGCTTCAAAGCCTTCTCCTTTGGATTGTGGTTGAACTGTTGGTTCCTCTTGTTCTGAGGATTTTATCTGTTTCATTTGAACAGTCACTTGCTCCCCAAGGTTAAGCACGTAAGCATTCATTGTAGGAGTACTCAGCCTCTGTTTATACAAGAAAATAGAAATAATCTGTTACAGCATAAGAGAAGCAGAAAAACATATACACGTGTATACACATTTCACTGCAGTACACTAACACAGCATTGAATCTAGGAGAAAATACATTGAGGTTGCTTATATTTGCATCCTAAATTCACTAATGATGAAGTGGTTAGAGATGTTCCTTGAGGTAAAGTGAAAATATTTGATAAAAAAGTTGAAATAAAATATGTTGAATATGCATTTAATATACTCATTCTGCCTGTCATGGTGGTGCATGCCTACAAACCCAGCACTTGGCAGGCTGAGGCAGAAGAATTGCCAAGAGTTGGCCAGCCTGGGCTACATAGTGAGTTCAAGGCCAGCCTGAATTACATAGCAAGACCCTGTCTCAAAAAACCAATATATGTATAGCCAGCCTGGTACATAGTGAGTTCAAGGCCAGCCTGAATTACATAGCAAGACCCTGTCTCAAAAAACCAATATATGTATATATATATATATTTTTTCCCCTCTAATGAGCATTATAGCTGAGGCCTTGTTACATCATCATACTTATGCTTATATTGACCAGTAGTCAGGAAAAAATGTAACTTAGAGTCTATCTCATAACAAAATTCAAAGTATCACATAGAATTTATTAAAGAGCATACACTGAAGCCTCACGAGGCTGAGGCAGAAGGATAGCTGTGAGTTCGAGACTAGCCTGGGCTACATACTGAGTTACAGTTTCTTCTACATAGTGAGACCCTGTCTCAAAAAACAAAACAAACAAACAAACAAGCAAAGTATACACTGAAGAGTACTTGTTGTTTATGCTTGGTATTTGGTGGCTGGCAGGGCAGGGACCACTACTGTTGCCCAACAGCAAAAGTAAGTACTGTAACCCAAGTCACTAGTGAGCAAAAAGGATACAACTTTAAAAGCAAAGTATGTTCTCTGAAGAATGAGTGTGAGTTTACTTCAATTTGAAATACCAGAGACTGTGATCAGGGCCTGTGTATTTTAGACAAAAGTCCTAAGGTAGAGATATATTTCCAGACCATTTTATTTTATTTTTATTTTCGTAAGGGACTTCCTCAAATTTTCAGGCTAGTTGCAACTTTGCAATGTTTTTGGCCTCAGTGTCCTAAGTGACTGAGATAATAATACTATGCTGCACTGCACATCACTTTTCCATTATTCTACATCCAACAGTTGCAAGTGGAGACATCTCTCTCTCTGATGTGAGATAAGGGCACACTACTACATTTCATCAACTGCAGTATTAAAAGCTTAATGACAATGGGTCAGAGAAAGCCAGAGTAGAAGAAAGTAATATTGCTTTACACAGAAATGCACAAAGCAAATTTTCAAGTTATGGTACCTGATCAGTTTCTTACAAGAAACTAGCCAAGTGCTAATGAAAACATCTTACCTGGTAGAGTCAGTCTTTCCTCTCCTCCCACTCTGCCCTAATATGCTGACTTCTTAGTTCCACACCACTGACAGGGCCACAACCCCTGGATTTTTCTTGCTTCAGCTAGTGGGAGGTAACAGCAGGAAAGCTGCAGATAAGAGGAAAGAGAAGATAGACTATTTATTCTCCTGCCAACCACCTTCGTGTCCTCAGACTATGGACACCCTGCTGTCTTTTACTAGCTACATTGCATGTGAGTTAAACTCTGTAGCTCTTGGTATCACTGAGCTCTGGTATCTTTACATTTTGTCCCTTATACGCACTGTATCTTATTGCAGGTGAGTGTTACTGGCCTTGTCACTTTCTACACGACTCGTGTTTCTTCTAACACTATGAGAATAGTTAAACACATTCATCATTCCCTCACTGTAGATTTGTGTGCAGTGACCTTCACACTAATCGGATGCTTAATCCTCCTAGAGAAAATACATGACACATCGATAGCTTCTACACAATTTCACTTCTCTGTGTGGCCCTAAAGTTCATCTGACAACTGGAAGCCCTTCGATATGTTAACCAACTTATTTCCTTTTTCTAAGTTAAAGTTTTATTTACTTTTATCTTTTAGTATGTTTGATTCACAATGAATTCATTTATGGTGGAGAGTTGGTGCATGTGCATATTGACCCTTTTACTTTCCATTCCCTAATCCCTCTCCCTCCATCACTAGCTCCCTTTCTTGTCTATAAAGTAATGGCTTTCCCAGTATCTAAAATTTATTTTGCTCTTTATTTATGCTTGGAATTTCTCATATTGTAATAATGTCATATATCACATTTTTATGTTTATTATGTCTGATTTATTTACTTCAGTATTATGATATAATGTGTAGGCTTTTTTCTACAAATGATTTAAATTTACTCTTCTTTATGACAGAGTATTAATCAACTGCTTATATGTACCACATTTTCATCATCCTTTCCTCTGTTGATAGGCATGCAGGGATTTATGGATATGCACATTACTGAAATAGGGTGTTTTAGCCGGAACCACTGAACCAAATCCCCAGCCTTTTTTTTTTTTTCCCCGCTTTGAACAATTTATTTAACTGAAATCCCATATACTGACTTCCATTTATTTTGATACTTTTTGTTTTTGTACTGGGGATTGAACTTGAGTCCTTGGACTTGTGAGGCAGGCAGCGGAACCACTGAGCTAAATCCCCAGCCCTATTTTGATACATCTTAAATCTAAGTGTAAATAAGGTTCAAATGGTACTAATTGACAGTGTGAAGTAGGAAGAAAATGGGTAAAGGGGAAGCGGGAAGGGGAGGGGAGGGGAAAAAAGGAAGGGAAAAGAAAAAAATGTGAAAAAAGGAAAAAATGGACACAAAGTCTTTGTAAATAGGGAAGGGTGAAGGGGGTGAAGGAAGGGCAGGGGTCTGGGGAAAAAATAAGAACCAAGACGTAGTGTAAAGGTACAAGATCCCAGTGATAACTGTATTGTTTGCTTTAAATGTACCAGTAAACAATGGGGAAATTTTTAAAAAAGTAAAATATTTTTATATGTCTTGCCCCAAACATGATTTAGAGGATTTTCAAGCCAATGTAAATATTTCATAGATATGTGGCCATTTGGGTACACATCTGCGCAATACCTCATATCTTTCAGCGAGAAAACACTGAAAAGTAAAGACCTGGCGCAATTAACCGGGTATAATGAGAATCTGCTCCAGATCCTGTTTCTCTGAGGTAAAGGCACCACACACCTGCTCAATTAGGAAACCATCCTTACAACACAGGATGATTTTTTATTTTTTAAGTCGGGCTTAGGGCACTCGGCCGCTAACTGGGAGCTGCATGGCAGAGCTACGCCCCCAGCTTATGCCGTGAGTTCATAGGGAACAGGTTCCGACAACTCAGCCTCCTTCCCGTCGTTTCTCAGGAAGTGCGCTTCTCTGGGCGGGGCAGGCTGGCGCTTCACCTGAACCCAGGTCCCTTTCTCTTTGGCGTCCTTCTTTTTCTGATCATTTTCCTTGACCCGTTTCAGGAAGCTATCACTACTCTTTGGGTGTTTAGTATGCTCAGTACGCACATTAATCCTCTTGGCAAGAATCTCACCCTTAACTTGCTTGTTTACAACAACGCCAGCAGCACGCCGGGTAACACTGCAGACTCTTCCAGCCTTGCCATGGTAACATTTGTGTGGGATTCTTTTCCCAACAGCACCCATTCCCTTGATGTCTACAATAGCACCCTTTTTGTAGACTCGCGTGAATGTGGCCAAAGGAGCAGCCCCATGTTTCCTAAAAGGCCTAGAGAACGTATACCGGCTTCCCCACCTCTTTCCCTTTGTGCTTGTCATTGTGGCAAATTACTGGAAGGTGCCGGTTCCGGCTGAAAGGCTTAAGAAATTCTTGATGACAGTTGTTTTTCTGGAGTAAAATACTGTCAATTAGCATTTCTCTGATTGCCAAAGGTGCTGAACACTTTTTTCAGGTATTTATTGGCCATTTGTAGTTCATCTAATGAGTGTGTACTCACCTCATTTGCCCAGTTTTCAATTAGGACTTTTATTTGGGGTGCCTAATTTTAGTTTTTTAATATATTCTAGGTACTACTCTGAGGAGTAGATGGCAGTTTTTCCCCATTCTGTAGGTTTTTCCTTCACTGGCTTACTTCCATGTCTGTGCAAATGTTTCTTAATGTGATATAATCCTATGCGTTCACTGTCATCCCACCTTAATTTCTACCCCAAACACCCATAATAGCATTGAGAAACCTACTTTTTCACATCTCTATAGTCAGAACACATAATGCCCAGCTTATTCATGCTTCATTGTTTATGTTTTAGTCTATGATGCAGGAATATGGGTACAAAGTGTCATGAAAAGAATATTTCCTGAGCAACAAAATCTCGACTTGGAATAGTGATATTTTCTCTATCCCATCCTACTTTATATTCTAAGCCTGAATTTTTCTTTAAGCTTATAATGTAGATAGAAAGAAACTATTATGTAGTTCACTAAGGCATCTAGCTAAGTTGCTCAGGGTGGCTGCAAAGCTATGCCTCAGCCTCTTCTGATGTTGGGACTAAAAGGAATCACGATCACATCTGGCTTGAACTCATATCAACTGAGAAAAGGAAAAACAGTTATGTGGAACATTTTGCGTTAAAATAATTTTGATACTGGGGAATAAACCTAGAAGTACTTCTCCAGAACTTTTATATTTATGGTGAGGCGGGACTTAAGTTGCCCAGCCTGGCCTAAATTATTTTCTTCCCACCTCTGCCTCCTGACTGGGTGGAATTACAAGCATGCATTGCCAGGACCAGCAAGACTTTTTTTCATGGTAAAATAATGGGAAAGTAAATGTGCTTTGCCTAAAATGCCCAAAATTTTCACTATTTCAACACTGGCTGTATTAGCAATAGCAATATACATTACATCTTCCTAGTGATGGTGCAAAGCAGAAGTGAGCTGCAGCATAGTCACCTGTTCTAGGGTGAAAAACGGCAACCTGCTCTGCCATGTTATTATATTCCACAGATTGCAGAAGACATTTCAGAGAGAGATGTTAGATAGCATTACCCAAGTGGTAATTTAGGCGCCTACACATATTTAGGGCTACAGCAAGATACAATGTTAAGTCCATTATGGGTATTTAATGCACTGCTGCATTATGTTCTCAGTTTACCACAGATTGATAACAATATAAACCCATGAGAAACTGAGCAGCTTCGGTATTCAAGAAGAACACTGTACAAAACATTTCACAAATATTTCAATGTTTAAAGGAAAGGCAAAACACAAGTCAAGGAGATCAAATTTGCCACATGCTCACCTGGGCAAGTCCATGTGTTTGAAGGTATTTCTCACATACTTCAAACACCAGTGGCCTTTATGGATAATGGAAAAGGGCACTGTATAAAGTTTTCTTTAGATTGGTAAAACAGAACAGTCTGAGTCATAGATTTCTTCTTGCTAAACTGACACTTATGAGTTAGGTTTTCCTTCATGCCATTATTTTAGCTTCTTACATTAAAAATGTTTACCAAATAAGAATAGACACCCCCCTCACAACATTCATTTAATAGCAATCATTCTCTTCAAAACTCCGCTGTTGACAAAAATTCCTTTGAAAATGTTGTTGATAAATCATATGATCACTTATATCTTTGGACAGATTTATTATATCATGGGCCGGGGTTTTGTTTTAGCTCAGTGGTTCTGCCACCTGCCTCGCAAGGACAAGGTCCTGAGTTTGATCCCCAGTACCAAAACCCAAAATAAATAAATAAATACAATATATAATTCACGATATCCTACTGGAGACAAGTTATGGTCTTTGCTGGTCTGTGGAACTGGGAACTCACTGCAGAATGGTTTATTTTTTTGGTACATGTGGTAGGAAAACTGCTATTAAATTAAAAGTCATGGCAAGGTAAGGATGGAAGGTAAAATTCTGATACAAAGAAAAAAATTTTATGTAAATGTCAATGTTGGATCCAATATGAAAGAAAAATAGAGGAGAAAATATGTACTTGATATAGTTACATTAGGATAGATGCAGGGATCTTAGCGTATGAAAAACAACATTTGCTAATCTACATGTGTGAAAACAATTGGACTTTGTCAAAAACACATTTACACAAGTCTGCAAATATATATATCTTAATATAAAATATAACATCTAATTAAAAATATTGTTACACAAAAGATGGAGTATACACATCATGAATTTAAAATAAAGCTAGAAGAAAAATCCTGACAGAAAACAAAATTTATGTTTTAGTGGCCTAGAACTTTCAATTATAAAAACAAATAAAAAAGCAAACTACATGAATACAAACCCTACTTATGTGACAAAGATATTTCATCTTGCTTAATTAAAACCCTATGTATTTGACTCAAAGAAAATTGCTTACAGAAAAATACATCAATTAAACATATATTCCCATGTTGAATACCACAGATACATAATTAAAAGATGTACTGAACGAAAAAGTGTTTATACTTTAGGGTATTTCCATCTGGGTGTGCATTTTCTGGAAAATTTATTAAGAAAAGGTAACATCAAGCTTTTCATATAAGTCATTTCTTTAGGTCTCTACTACATCAGAAATTTTTATGAGTATTTTTCAAAATAGGCTTATATACATAAATTTCCTCCCATGAGGTATCTTTCATACTTTTGACAGTATTTCCACATACCGAAAGCTTTCCCACACTGCCTAGTTTCTTCTCAGTGTGACTTTTCATGTATTTGACAATAATTGTGTCTACTGAATGCTTTCCCACAGTGCTTACATACATAGGGTTTTTCCCCAGTGTGGGTTCTTTCATGAGTTTTATGAGAACTGCACGTACTGAATGCTTTCCCACAGTGCTTACATACATAGGGTTTCTCCCCAGTGTGAGTTCGTTCATGTATTTTATAAGAACTGCACGTACTGAATGCTTTCCCACACTGCTTACATACATAGGGTTTCTCCCCAGTGTGAATTCTTTCATGTATTTTACAATGACTCTGTGTACTGAAAGCTTTCCCACAGTGATTACATACAAAGGGTTTCTCTCCAGTGTGAGTTCTTTCATGTCTTTGACAATACTTGTGTGTACTGAAAGCTTTCCCACAGTGCTTGCATGCATAGGGTTTTTCCCCAGTGTGAATTCTTTTATGTATTTCATACTGACTACGTGTACTGAATGCTTTGCCACACTGCTCACATATATAGGGTTTCTCTACAGTGTGACTTCTTTCATGCCTTTGACAACACTTGTGTGTACTAAATGCTTTCCCACATTGCTTACATATATAGGGCTTCTCCCCAGTGTGAGTTGTTTCATGTATCTGACAATAACTCTGTGTCCTGAAAGCTTTCCCACACTGTTGACATTCATAGGGTTTCTCCTCGGTGTGATTTCTTTCATGTGTTTGACAATACTTGAGTGTGCTGAAAGCTTTCCCACATAGCTTACATACATGGAGTTTCCCTCTGCTATGAGTTCTCTCATGTATCTGGCAATCACTGTGTGTTCTGAAATTTTTCCCACAATGTTGACATACATAGGGTTTCTCCCCTGTGTGAGTTCTTTCATGTGTCTTTTGAGAACTACATGTACTGAATGCTTTCCCACACTGTTTACATACATAGGGTTTGTCCTCACTGTGAGTTCGTTCATGTAGCTGACAATACCGTTGTGCTCTGAATGCTTTCCCACAGTGCTTACATACATAGGGTTTCTCCCCAGTGTGAGTTCGTTCATGTATCTGACAGTAACTCTGTCTGCTGAAAGATTTCCCACACTGCTTACATACATAGGGTTTCTCCCCAGTGTGGGTTCTTTCATGAGTTTTATGAGAACTGCATGTACTGAATGCTTTCCCACAGTGCTTACATACATAGGGTTTCTCCCCAGTGTGAGTTCGTTCATGTATTTTACATTGACTCTGTGTGTTAAAAGCTTTCCCACAATGTTTACATACATAGGGTTTCTCTCCAGTGTGAGTTCTTTCATGGATCTGACAGTTGTTTTGTATATTAAATGCCTTCCCACAATGCTTACATACATAGGGTTTCTCCCCAGTGTGAATCCTTTCATGTCGTTGACAGTGACACTGACTGCTGAAAGCTTTCCCACAATGCTTGCATACATAAAGTTTCTCCCCGTTGTGAGTTTTTTCATGTATTTGACAATGCCTGTGTGTACTGAATGCTTCTCCACATTGATTACATACATAAGATTTCTCCCGAGTATGAATTTTTTTATGTCTATAAAGTGAAATGTTAGAAAAAAACTTCTTTCCACATTGCTCACACACATAAGGTTTCTCACCAGTGTGCCTTCTTTTATGTATTTGATAATACTTCTGCATACTGAATGCTTTCCCACATTGCTTACAAACATACGGTTTTTCCCCAGTATGGCTCCTCTCATGTACTTGACAATTACTGTGTGTAGTGAATGCTTTCCCACAGTGCTTACATATATAGGGTGTATTCCCAGTGTGACTTCTCTCATGTATTTGACAGTACCAGTGTGTGCTGAAAGCTTTCCCACAGTGCTTACATACATAGGATTTCTCCCCAGTGTGAGTTTTTTCATGTCTGTGACAGTTACTATGACTCCTGAAAGCTTTCCCACATTGTTTACATTTGTAGGGTTTCTTCCCAATGTGAGTACTTCTATGTTTGTGAAAGGAATTACTAGGAGCTAATTTGGCACTCCCACATTCCTTAGATATATAGGGCTTCTCTCCAGCATGCCTTCTTTCTTGTATTTCAATATAACAGGAAGAAATTAAAGATTTCCCAGTTTGTTGGCATACATATGCATTCCCTGCAGTGTGACAGATTTGAACATCACTGAGTGTGCTGGGGGCTTTCACAGTTTGCTTACATACAAAGGTCTTCTCTCCAGGGTGAGTTCTTTCTCTGGGATCACAGTCAGCTTTCCCACGTTGCTTGTATTCACAGGGTTTCTTTCCAGCCTCTATCCTTGCAAGCTTCTTAAAGGGCTGGAAACCACTGCTGGTTCTTCTATCTTCATTACATTTATAGTGCTTCTCTTTAAATCCTGAATATTCCTTTGGCTTCAGTCCAATGTGAAATCTGATAGGTGCATCTAGAGATATATTATCAATCAGGGGCTTTCTATAAGCAATGATTTCAGCTGGTTTTAAACCAGCTTTTTTCATGTTCACATTAACATATGGAGCCAAGAGGAACATTTCAGATTGATTAAAAACTTTATATTCATAGCATTTCTCTACCTCTTCATTTCTGTAAAAAAAAATTAAAAATATCAATCAAAATAAAAAGGGTTTCCTTAGTAATAATTTACTGGGAAAACTTCCCACATTTAATGCCTCCTAGGAAATTTTGACTGAACTGACTGATTGCCCTGGAGTATGTCTTAAAAACAGCTATTAGGAAAGCAGTGGTATTCATCTGGGAATTTTAAAGCTGACACACGTTTGCAGTACGTTTGCTTTCACTGTGGGGAACTGGTCCACGTACATACCACACGTGTATCAGCTCTGACACCTTCCCCATGATTCATCTCTTCTCTCCTAACCCTCATTCTCTTCCCATCTCCAAGGAGACCGACTGCATGTTTTCTGATACTCTCCTATATTTTACTACATAACTTATACTTTTGATTTTTTTATTAAAGAGAAACCACCTGGTATTTCACTTTCCTCAACTAATTTATTTTACTGATTATTACTGGATGGAGATATACCTTTTTTTTTTTTTTTTTTGCAAATAACATCATTTTTCTTTATGGCTGAATAAATAAATAGAGCACACTTTCATTGGTTTGTTTTTCTGTGTCAGTGAGGATTAAACTCAGAAACTTAGCACTGCATTATATCTTCAGCTTATTTATTTAGTTAGTTTTTTGGTACTCGGGATCAAACTCGGATCCTTGTGCTTGCAAGGCCGGCACTGGAACCACTGAGCTAAATCCCCGGCCCTCTTCAGCTTATTTAATTTTTTATTTTGATACAGTTTTTCACTGACCATTAATTTGCTCATGCTGAACTTCAACTTGTTATTCTGCTAACTCAGCTTCCCAAGGTGCTGGGATTACAAGAAGGCACCCCATGCTGAGCCTGTCCAAAATGTTCTTTATCTATCCATGCATCAAATGACAGACATCTAGGCTGTTTCCAGAGCTTAGCTATTTGGAACTGAGCTGCTCTGAGCATATTTGACTATAATACGATGACTTGAACTCTTTTGGGACTATAACCCAAAAAAGTGTATCTGGAGTAGCACTCGGGAGGCTGAGGCAGGAGTATTGCTGTGAGTTCAAGACCAGCCTGGGCTACATAGTGAGTTCCAGGTCAGTCTCAACTACATAGAGACCCTGTCTCAAAAAAAACCAAAAAACCAAAAATGTATATCTGGATTAAAAGGAATTTACATTTTCATTTTTTGAGGCATCTGTGTATTTTTTTTCATAGTAGTTTTACTTTACACTCCCACCAGTGTAGGAAGGTGCCTTCAAGAATTATAAAGCACCCACAGATTCAATTCTCTAAGGATGGTTTGAAAACACCTATTATTACAACACTACCATTCATTTGCATGTTGCATACAGCTTCCAGGTTAACAATTTTCCAGATACAGAATGTCTCATATTCATGTATACAAAATTAGATACCCTTAAGATGGGTCCTGTCAAAACACAAAATTTATTCTTTTCAAATATATCTATACCCAATGCCTAGATGCAATTTATTACGTTTTCTTGATGTTGATCATGGGAGAACATTTTTGTATACTGATATATCAGATAGTGTCACTTGTTGCATAAAATCTGTACTACATCAGTTTCCTATATTGGAATATTTATGTATTTGACTGTCAGGCAACACAAACGCAAACTGTATACATTTTTAGGGAATGTAGGATTAAATACATTTCAACATTACATTATTTTTACATTTTCCTTGGTTTTAATATTTCTGCTCACACTCTGATTCTTGAAGTATTTTACTGGTGAGTGTAAATTACCTTAGATTTCTCCAGCAATTTTTGTACTCCTCTCCAATTTGCTGGCTATCCCAGGTTTTTCCTGAAATGTAAATATGCAAATATAAGAAGTTAGTATATTATTACATAAAAATTAACAGATTCCAGTTAGATTCATGGTATAATCCAACCAGGTAGTTTTTACATTCTGATTAAACTGCACCAAGAGTAAGAAGCAATGTTCTCTGATTGTCTAAGAAAATGATATCATCCTTACCTACAGTGGCCATGTTCATAAACGTTTCCCCCATCACATCTCTGTAGAGCTTCTTTTGGGATGGGTTCAGCAAAGCCCACTCTTCCTTGGTGAAGTTCACAGCCACATCCGCAAAGGTCACTGCCTCCTAAATCATAATACATATATTTCCAAGGGAAAGTTGAAAAAGCCTGAAACAGGTCAATCCCTCTCATAAATTGAAGAGAGGCTGACTTCTTCAATTATTAACTCCATGTATGCACATTTTTTTCACAGAGGAATTCTGACGCGAGATTGCAACTCATTATTAATGCTGCACTATGATAGGGTAGTGGTTCTCCTGCTGGGTTACCCCATATATTTGTGCACAGACTGTCAAACAGAGTTCATGAAGGAGGCTGCACGATCACAATCTGGAAAACACTGGGACAGATGAATATCTAATGAACGATTTTGATAGATGATAGACAATCTCTTTTCAAATCTTATTATTTATGGAGTAGAGTCCTTCTTTCTCTGACTGCACTTAAGCAGCATTTTGAAACTTGAATCTGGTTTCAGAAAAAATAATTTAATTGACGATTACATAAGATTTATGAAATATAATTACAAATCCTAAGTGAAAATTGCTTTATTGGTGCAAGACTGAAGACAATTAAAATAGGAAAAGAATGGCATACTATCTTACAACTCAGTGACACCAAATGGTCACAGGTGTAAGAAATTCTAGAGGAGTATAAGTGGGAGTAATGACGGAAAGAATATGATTAACACACCTCCAAGAACTGAAAACCAATGGGCACTATGAATAGCAGAAAAACTCCAGCCAGGTATGGTGTTGTATGCTTGCAATCCTAGTACTTGATAAGATGATGCAGACAACTGCCTTGAGTTCAAGGCCAGTCTGAATTACACAGTGAGCTCCTACTTTAAACAATCCACAGAAAAGGAAAATTTCAAAAACAATCATGTTACTTATAAATCACACCTTTGATTTGTTAAAAAAAATTACTGCCATACAGTATAATAAAAATCTAATAGGGCTGGGGATTTAGCTCAGTGGTTCCACTGTCTGCCTCACAAGCACAAGGTACTGAGTTCGATCCTCAGTACCCCCCCTCAAATCTAACAACATTCAATACCTTATAAGAAAGGGATACCTTGCATAATATATATGAAAGACATTAAAATTTCATCTTTCAGGACCCTGTGCTATTAGTAGAGAAAATGGCAAATGGATCTTAGGAAAAAGACAGTTGTCAATGGGTCCCCATGTACAAGAATACTGATTCACAATAGAGCTATTCATCTGAAGATGTTATTACCTCAAGAGAAAACATCAAATATAAAATAAGGTTCAAGATCATGTTTAAGACAACTGCCAAAAAGTGTGAAGGAACACAATTAATAAGTAGGCTTATGCAAGAACGGAGGATAAATCCATATACCCTGTACTTAATTCTCTTTACTTTGGAGTTTACCAAAATCTACAAAGCAGTAAATTCACTCTGGTGTTGAGAGAATTCATTATGTTATTGTTCCTGGAGATAGATATGATTCTTTGCATGTCAAAATAAAGTAAACTTGAAACTCCTCAACCATATGGCCAATGGAATGGATGAGAAAGCACTTTGCCTGTGATTCACATATTAGCACTTGTGAACAATAAATAGTGAGACCAAAAAAGGGGGGGAAAAAAAGGAAAAAGAAACTCACCCAAACTGTTAATTTCTCTAATACCAATTTATGATAACTCTAAAAAGGAAAACAAAAGAATACTGTTCACTGAAATTACACAGGGTAAATGTAGGAAAAGTAGCCAAAGTGGAAGAGTGGTTTTCTATAAAGCAACAAAGGGTTGAGTCAGGTAGGGTATCACCTGGATACTCTCATGAACTGCTCAAGTCCCAATTATGAAACTTTATGAATATTCCCAGGATATTTACATTGTTAGTATATCTCATCAAAAATTTTTAGAGTAAAATTTATAATAAAATATTTAAACAGTAAATTACTATTATGATTTGTATTTCAGTGTCCTTAGACATTGAGCCAGGATTTCTCAACTAAGTCCATACAAGAAAGGATGTTGTAATGCTCTTTCCAGAACTCTTTAAGGGTTAAATGTGTATATGAGACTATCTGGAAGCACAAGTGGCTAGCATTTGGGTTATAACTTAAAACCAAAATTCTGGTCATAACCCAAGTTGTTCCTGTGTCAGACCAGTCATAACTCGAGGGTCCACTGTATAATGAAAGCTATAGAAAACACTAGTTTAGTATTGATTCAACAATACTTGATGAAGCTATATTAACTTGACATAATTAAATTTGTACCGCAAATTAAAGATTATAGTGATCAAATAGTAAGGTAAAAAGCAGTTTTCTAAAACAAACTTACAGTCCTTAATATATATCTCACTAAACAGAGCATCAAACCACATGAGGCAAGATTATGTGAAGGAAAAAAATCACTGATTTACAACTATACTGAAGAGTTAAAAAAAACCTCCCTCCAACAAGGGGAAAAAATGAGACCTGTCATGTAGAGGTACAAGATCCCAACAATGAATGTAACTGTACTGTATCCCTAAAATGTAACAATAAACGCAATTAAAAAAAAACCTCCCTCCATAATTGATAAAGAAAGCAGAAAAATACAGAATGGATTAGTTAAAATCAACAACATCATATCTCAAGAATTATTTCAGATTGCATAATATTTTATCAAGTAAATACATAGTACACAGTCTTCTAAAAACTGCAGGAAATATTCTCTATGTGAGTGATGGTGCTTTTCTCTCTCTTCACTCATACCTACATTTTATGTACATGTAAAGGTCAAGAAGATGGAAAGTGTGGGTTTAAAGGGCAGTCGCTTCTGGAAGTTGTCCTTTCCAACATTGCTTTAATCTTCCCTTGTTTAAATTGGTAACTCCTAATCTGATATTTGTGGCATTATAAACAAAATGAGCTTGCTGATTTATTAGTTCGTTTGTTTATTGCATTGCTTTGAATATCACACAGGTGTTTAAGCATTTGGCCAGTGTCCTAACACTGAGATTCATCACAGGTAATGTTAAACATTTCTTCCACAATTTTTATGTCATTTGTCAGCACTCTATAATGACTTTGGAATTAAGGGAAGTGTTTGGAAATTTTGGAATTTACTATCATCACAATGAAGCTCAAAGTGGAGGATACAACTTGTCTCCGTCTGAGATCCTGTATGTTAACTTTTAATAAACTTACCAAAAGTAGGCACTTTGATACCAACAATTTAAATGAAGAGGGTTTTATGTTGGCTCAGTTTTAGACCATGTTCTGTTGGTTCCAAGGTAGAAACTGGGTAAGTGTCAAGGTGGAGGAAAAGGGATTCAATCTAGCAGGCAGACAGGAGAGAGAGGTGGGAGGAGCAGCAGACAAGAATGCACTCTTCCAGGCTTTGATCCTACTAACCCATCTCCAACAGGGCCCCACCTCCTAACACAGTCACACACTGAACTCATCAATGCCTGAATCCACTGATGAGGACAGTGCCCACCCAAACCAATCAATTTGAACACTTAAGAGACATTTGGGTGACATCTTAGATATAAACCATAACTGGAAGTTCGTTAGGGAGAAAAAAACAAGGCACAAAACACAGCCCAGTCTCACCCACACAGAAACCTCATGCAGTAGTCCAGAGCCTCACATCAAGCCTCCTGCTCACTGAACAGGATGGAGAAAAGTGGGGCTGGTATCACTTAGTTGGGAAAGGCAGGGCTCTGGCCACAGTAATGTCGCCCCACTGATACAGGGCAGGATGCTTAGGTCATGGCAGAAGTCTCAGCTCTACCCAGAGGTGTGTACCACTGACAGTCTACATGTGGGAAGGAAGAATTCTCAACTGACACAGAAAGGCCCAGATTCTGCCAAACCTAGTTCAGTCCACTTCCCATAAGAACTTATGCTTCCACCACAAGCCCCACCCTGTCTTGGGTCATCTGGCTCTGCACAATTGCCTTTCAAGAACTGAGGATCTCTCAGGTCTCTTCAGCCAAATTTAGAAGAGCTTACACAAGTCAGGATGAGACAGCTTTGGAGTCTCTCAGCAATGCACTGGGAGCTTTTGACTTAAGTGTCTTGACAAAAGAAGATTCGACTCTCTGGCCAGTGTACCAGACCACAGATTCCCTGATAAAAGGCTGCTATATTTTCTGCTCAATGAGGCAGAGGGAGAAGAAAAGCAATACACTACCTGCTTGAGTGGATCCCAAAAGACACACTCTAAAGAAAACCCTTCTCAGCCTATGCTTCCTCCCAGGATATTGACTTGATCTAGCCTGTTGAATCATTGTACTAATTGCTAACTTGGTCTTGTAGGTAAGACCATCATACATTTTAGAAATAGCACCTTGGCAAGACAAAGAAAGGCTAACGACATTACCCAAGAATTTGCATGTAGGCAATGGAGAGGGTCAGTAGCCAAATCAGGGGTCTCAGAGCCTGAAATAGTCAATCAGGACCAAACAAAGGCACCCCAAAAAGCTCTCAAGGATATCCTAGAAAAAGACAATGAAGATAATAATTCCAAAAATCCTAAGAGATTAAATCCACCAGCAAGATGAGCAACTTAACTGAAGGGAAAGAAAGAGAACCAACAACAGGAAAATAATATACTGGCAACAGTCTGTCAATACCTATCAGTTATACCCATCATTGCAAATGGTCTCAATTCACCAATCAAAAGAAACAGACTGGTAGAATGGGTTAAGAAGTAAGATCCAACAACATGCTGCAAACAATTAATATATTTACTCAAAAAGACATTCTTAGACTGAAGGTAAAGGATGGAAAATAATACTTCGTGTAGCAGGAGCACGGAGACAAGCAGGAATAGCTATTCTAATTACAGAGTGGATTCCCAGCTAAGATTGATCAGAGATAAAGGTCACTACATATTTGGTTAAGGGAACAACTCAAGAGGAAAAGGTAACAATCATAAGTATATTTGCAGCGAATACTGGCACAAAAATCAGATCAGCACAAATGCAATTTTAATGGCACATTTGTGTACACTTTTCTAATTAAAAAAGGAAATAAAACACAGTCAACCAATGTAACATCTTATGCCAGTTTCTTCATCTTAAAAATAGAATAAAA